GGAGACCCCCTCTATATTCTTCACACAAAAGTCTTTGAACTTCAGATTTTCCATCCAAAATTCGAAAGCGAGAAAATGAAACAGAAAATAAGACACAGAAGTAACTGAATTCTGTATTCCATCAAATATGAGTAGTCACTTCTATATAACATTAATGTTACACTCATAGACCAAACTTAAGGAAGTTTTACCATGTATATCAGGATTCAGACAATAACTCTGAAAGATATCACAGTGACCTTTATTGAAGACACACGAGATAACCAAGTGTGAACAAAATTACCTTTGTCACCTTCAAAAAAAAAATATATATATATAGACGACCGACGATATCAAAGACTTTAGTTTTGTCCATGAGTGTATTTCAGCGATTTTTATAGAGGCAAGCTCTTTATAATTAAAGTTTCACAAAGTCATAAATTGAGTACAAATGAAAGTTTTACACGCCAACAATGGAGTAATTTTGGCAATATTCATTGATAGGAAATTACGGTCGTACATTACCTTTAGTTCATTGTTCACGTAGCTGATTAGCTGTTCATTTGTGATAATCTAGTAAAACTCTATTTAATTTAAGTTGAGTTTTAGTTTAGGTTTATTAAACTATTTTTTAAATAAACGTAAAGTCTCTAAACGTATTTTTTATCAACTAAATATCACTAAAAAATGGCAACAATCTTAAAACTTTATGGAAAAGAGTAAAAAAAGTATTTATATAAAGAAAATTTAGTAAAATTTAACTTACCTTGTAATAGGTTGATACTTGGAGAAAAGCGAGTTCTTAGGAATTTCTATTAAAATCTGTTTATAACGAGATATTATAAAAGATGAGGTTTGTTAGAAAAGTTTTTTTGAAAAATTCCAATAGCGTTTCAGAGCTAAAGAACTATACCGAGGAGATGTTTGAGAAAGAGTTCTCAGATGATGGAATGCTGTATAGGACTGTGTAGAAGAGTAGATACAACGAGGGGAGACGTGACTGCACTACGCCGTGACTGGGACAACTAAGTGACGCTGTACAGTTGACGCGGTGTCGCAATAACGACGGCCTTGTCCCGCCTGCTCCATATTAGGCCGTCGTGGGCAGTATGTAGGAGTCAGCTGACGCGCTTATGCAAATTTACGCCCATTTTGATATAGGTTAGATTGAAACATGTATGACATATATATATATATAAGAGCAATTTAATTGTATATAAAAAACTTCAGTAAAAAATAAAAATGGTCATCTCTCTCTCTCTCTCCTGTCAAAATAAACGCTGAAACTAAGCGCTATCTATTGACCATCTTTACAAACTAACGGACTCGGGTCGGTGACAAAGCGACAGCTTTGGAAAACTGAGAAACGTCCACCTGAAGATTATGGTTTTCGGGCTAATGGCTCTCGTCAGTCTAGGTTGGGCTTTATTCCATGAAATCCACAAGGGATCAAATGCAATATTCAGAATTTGCCAAAGAGGTGTTTAGCTGGTAAAGTGGCTATACAAATATATATGGAAATTTTGCCTAAAAGGAAACTGTTCAATTATATAATTATGGCAAAACAGTTTCCTTAATTACTTTATCTCCAGGAATTTCTCTCAAGTGACATGAAATATAAGCTCAACAGCTCCCAATACATTTATAGAGCAATATGATCAAATTAAACTGGCGAAACCGCTGGAAGGGTTCACCACTGATGAGTCAGGCAATGCATACAGGTATTTACGGTACCTATCTGTCTAGATTGAATTAAAAAAAAAAAAAGGATCCTACACAGGTTTAGCTATATATATATTTAAAAAAAAAAAAACGGCAATGAATAATAATAAAAGTATTTGACCTTTGACCATTATTTGAAGGACAATGGACAATGAGCAGGTGGCATCGCACACGGCTTTTGTTTCTCGGGCATGCGCAGATGGTCGCGTACACCTGGGTATATTTCTTTCTCTCTCCTCATCTTTAACTCTTTTCATACTTCGGCCACCTCTCCCTTTAAAATACAAGGACGATCGTCACAGTTTAGTTAGCTTAGGTTAGGTTGAAGTGAGGAGGCATCCTAGCGCGGTATAATACAATTGCCGATAGTCCGCTGTAATGAGTCTCTCACCAAAACGTATACCGGCCCATGTTGGAATAGAGGGCAATAAACAGGCTGATGGCCTAACTAAGGAATAACGAAAACAGGCACTGGAAACCAGTTTAATAACATTGAAAGACGCAAATACAAAAGCAAAACTCATTACAAAAAAACTAAATACCCCAGTCCATATGCAACCTCAACATTAACAACAGAGAATTAACAACAACAATTTCAAGAATCAGAACAGGACATTTGAAAGGAATGAAGATAAACCAGACATGACTAGATCCTACAGGAACTGTCACAACACCCAACTCACTCTGGACCATATATACCCGGCCATCCTTGCAGCCCTCTATATGGCAGACATCAATCCAGAAGAGGACATCCATACGGACAAGACACCTCAGTTGGCCGGTATTGTGATCAGGGTGCATGGACCGATCTATCTGCTCCATGGACAAGACACCTCAGTTGGCCGGTATTGTGATCAGGGTGCATGGACCGATCTATCTGCTCCATCGACAAGACACCTCAGTTGGCCGGTATTGTAATCAGGGTGCACGGACCGATCTGATCTGATCCATGGACAAGACACCTCAGTTGGCCGGTATTGTGATCAGGGTGCATGGACCGATCTGAACTGTTCCACGGACAAGACACCACCACCTCAGTTGGCCGGTATTGTGATCAGGGTGCATGGACCGATCTGATCTGCTCCATGGACAAGACACCTCAGTTGGCCGGTATTGTGATCAGGGTGCACGGACCGATCTGATCTGATCCATGGACAAGACACCACCATGGCTTCAAGAAGCAGATAAACATTACTATAAGGCTATAGAAGAAGCAGTAACACAAGTCGAGTAGTTTATTTATAACTTCCCCCCGACTTTTGTTTCTTCTTCAATAGCGAGAATAGGGAGTTGTCTTAATTCCATATTTACATATCGACGCTGATAGCAAAGAA